TTTTTATACATACATATTTATATATACAGGGTGTCCCAAAAAATGTATCCACTGTTTGATTGTTGATAATTCTCTTATTGTGAGGTCTTTCGAAAAGCGGTAAACGTCTTTTTGTAGAGTTGGCTTTAACTTAGATTTACAGTATAAGGCGAATCGTTCGTCTTTCTCCGTTACTGTAGGATTACGGTAGAAACTTGAAAGAAGGTTTTGGACCATGAAAGGCCATATTTTGCCTCAGAAAGGAATCAAAACAGCCTGAAAACTTCTACACTAGGCCAAATAGAGTTGCTGGTTCTAACTCTAAAGTTCCCAACTTATTATGATGCTTCATTGAAGAGTTATGCCAGGTAAGAGGTAGCGGCCATTTTTCAATGTTCCTAAAAAGTGGGTTACACCGTTTAGAAAGCTTTGCAATCTTGAGAATAGTTGAGTATTAAATTCAGCTTCCCTAAAAACCCCATTACACAAGTTTTCACATCTTTTTGAAATTTTTTGAACCGGCAGCTTTTTCCACAGTGACACCAAATGTTCCAAGTTTCTACCGTAATCCTACAGTAATGAAGGGCGGTCAGTGACTCGCTCTATACTGTAAATCTAAGCTGAAGCCAGCTCTACAAAATTGCGCTCACTGCTTCTCGAAAGAAATCATAAAAAGAGAGTTATTAACAATCAAACATCGTGGATACATTTTTGGACACCCTGTATATATATTTCGAATTGGACAATTTGACTTTATTTGAACTAAGGTTATACGATCCTGACATAGTTCGGTGTTGCGCATTGAGTCTCTTTCCAAAGCGCTCCGCGATTGATAGGACCAGCAAATAGATTGAGGTTTGACTACGCTGCAATTTGTATGTCCACTTTTGGATAATACACTTGGAAGTAACACCACACATATCTTGGAAAGCGCAGCATATCTTGGTAAAAGCACACTATTCGATCGTTATTTGCGAGTTAGTTAATGCACCGGAAGTTTTCTCAGAAATGAAAAAATTTGATCATTTGCCAAAAACAGACATTGAGGCCAAGCTTGAGTGTTAGCTTTTTTGCAAAACTTTAAGGTTTCTCTTGAGTTCTAATATATAAAGAATCGTAAGCGCAATTCAAAAATGTGCACATAGCGGGAAAAGACGTGGCGGTCCTGTAGCGCGCGCATGCTACTAGCACCTTCAACTGCTGGTTCACTAGTATTCTAAAACAGTAGCTAAACCCGAAGATGATGTGCTGGAGTGTTTTACCGTAGTCCTACAGTAACAAAAACGCGATTAGCTCTAGAGTATACATCTGAACATCCATTACAGTGATACCGTCTTTTTACGGCCATTAGGAAAATTGAGATCAAAGGCATCATCTACTTAAATTGTTGCCTTCAAGTTTTTGTTGCTTTCCGGCCTTTTGAAGGCCCTGATTTCGAGTATGGAGTCGAGAATCCGCGAAACTCCCAAAATTCCCCGTTTTAGAGAACTCAGTATAACAAGCACAGGCGAGGGGAAACCTGCAGAGTGGGCGAGGCAAACCACCTAGGTGGAATGACTAGCTCTAAATATCCGCGGGTTTCCCACTCCGGAAGCAGCTTCCTGCGGCGCAGCTTAGGGTTTGCCGAGTGTGGGGGCCCACACTAGTATGCCATCATAATCCATCAACCCCCACTTTGGGTGGACGGTGGTTTCAAGGAAGTATCAGTGATCGAACCTTGCAAACATAAATCCGGGACATTCTCTTTTGATTGAACTACCGCACAGTTCCTAGTCCCTGACAAAAGGGGCTTTCTCTAAGCGAAGCCGCGGGCGTACGAGCTTAAATGATGAAGGATGCTTGAACGCAGCGCTTGCACCTTCGCTGCTTGGACCGCCGCCTTCGTTGGGTTTTAACTTCTACTCTTCCCTTCAAAAGCTTTCGTCTTATATTTTCGTTTTTTTTAACAAGCGGCACAGTCCGTGGAACAAAGGTTCATAGAAGCTTTTGAAAGCATTTGATAAAGTTCATGCTTACAAAAATTTGTCTTCTTCTTCGCAGTTTAACAAACGAGTTCTCAGAAAATTACCACGACTCATGGTGTTTACCAAGGTCAAGTTTCGCTATTTTTTCAAATTTTTGTACTTTCTCCACGAAGGAGTCCAGGTAACCTATGGATAGAGCAAACCATATAGGATACAAAACTATTTTGATCTCCTCCCCATGATTCGTCATAAATTTGTGACAGAATACAGAATTTTCAACGACTTCATCAAATTTTAGCAAAACCATATCGACGGCGACTCGTTAAAAACCAAATTCAATATTTTTGATGCTTTCAAAAATGGAATGTGATTTAGCACTAATTTAACAGAACAAATGAGCGTTCAGGGGTTCGAAATATTAGATTTCGAACTTTCGGGTTTGAGCTTGAGGCGCCATCAAAAACATGAATTTTGTAGTTTTATGCTCCAAGATTTTCACGAATTAGGAACAAAAAACATGTGTTGAAAGAGGAGAAAGAGCTGCATCGAATAAATCCCGAGTTGCTTGTCGGTTGATGTTCCATGAGGTTCAAGACAACCATATATGGAATTTGATAGCATTAAAAAAAACAATTTTGAAAATTCTGGAAAGTAAGCTACAGAAGGGAAGAAATTGTTTTGTATCCTATAAGCAGTAGCAGTCCGAGTGGATGAGGTGTGGTGGGCGAGGGAGGCGCCCGTGAGAATGGGTCGCGATTTTTTGAAAGTTATTATATGGGTGATAAATATGTGCAAGTGACTTGTTTATACTTGTAAATGATTAAAATATTTTTTAAATTTCTCAAAAATTTATATAAGCCAAGTAAAAAAATTTTTTTCGGGGGCGTGGCTGCTGGCTACGCCCCCTTTTTTAAATATTTTTGGATCATTGGCCCACAAAAATTTTGGAAAGCATCGCAAAAATTTTTTCGCAGTGCATGGCTAACGCCACACACCTTCAATGAGAAAAATTTTTTGTTGCCCCTCCCCCCCCCCGGTCCGAATTCCTGGGACCAGGGTAAAGCGGGGGGTGCGGCACGCCGCAGGGGGGGGAGGGGGTCGTTAGGGGGGGGTAGGTAGGGGGGGGGGTCGTATCGACCCAAGGTCAAAAGCACTTGTACAAGCTGTGTGACTAAATTGACTTGATGAAAGCGCTGTTGAAATCCTGCAAAATTCAAGTTCAACGACACAAACTTGCAGATACCGTATGCCTACCGTAACCTACCGTACCTCTAATCAAGCATAATTATCGTAATCCGCGTGTCGAATAACCCCTATGCGCCAAGTTTCAGCGAACTCTGAGCTCTCCGAGCAGTAAACAACCTTGTATGAAGCAGTAATTTAAATCATGATTAACTTCATCTTAACGGTGAGTAAGCTACCTCTTCTTGCACTCAATACAAAGCACTACTCCTTCTTTGTCCACCTCAGGAATCCCACTTCAGAATACCTCCAAATTGTGGAATTAGAAGCCAACCAAAGTCTCGTTTTTCCCATTTTTCGCTTTTGATCGCTGTGCTTTCACAAAATATTACTCAGAGCTAAGAAGACGAATCAGGCTCAATTCACTCCTGTGAAAACTAGGTGATCTAGGCTATCGATCCATATCCATACTGTCCGCTAAAAATGTTTTTTTGATATAGTTAATTGCCTGCGGCACCCCCCCCCCCCCCTCCCTCAAAACCTGCGGCAGCCGCAGCGCTTAAGGGGGTGTGCGCACCCCATTAACTATACCAAAGAACATTTCTAAAAGACAGTATTTATATGAATCGATAGCCTAAACCCTGTAGATTCCATAGGACTGTTTGGAGCCTGGTTTGTCTTCTTAGCTCTAAGTAATATTTGGTGAAATCACAGCGTTCAAAAGCGAAAAATGGGAAAAACGAGATTTTGGTTGGCTTCTAATTCCACAGTTTTCAGGTCTTCTGAAGCGGAATTCCTGAGGTGGACAAAGAAGGAGTAGTGCTTTGTCTTGAATCTGTCAAAAACGGATAGCTAGTTTATCTTTGAAACAAAGTTAACCATGTTGGAATTTGACCATTTCACTTAGGTAGCCTAGTATCTTGAATCTTCAGAATTCGCTCAAACTTTGTCTACAGGGGTTGATTGACATGCTCATTATGGATATGTTGCCCATTATGTTTGACAGGGCCTCCAAGTAATGCTATCTTAAGGGTATAGTCCAGGGGGGGGGGGGTCTTATTAAGACAGCAATTAGGGGGTCGTAACCAGCGATCGTGTGCCACACCCCTTGCTTGACCCTGCATGGGACCGCCACTGCCCACACATAAGGTTTGTTCTATCCATAGGTTACTCAGATTTTTCCGGGGAATCAGTACAAAAATTTGGAATTATAGCGAAACTTGATCATGGCAAAATATGGGACGCAGTTTCTGGTAATTTTCTGAAAGCTCGTTTGTCGAGCTGCAACATAAAAATAATCACTTGAAAGAAAGGAGAAACTTGATCGAATGCTGCCAAGTCTTTCAGGGATGTTTATTCTGCGAGTCGTAGCACCCACGCAAGGAAAGCAAAAATATTTCAGGGACGATCTAATACTTTAACATGTTTGGCTTAGTCTACCCACCCTCTGCTGGAGCCTAAAGTTATAGAGCTCAGCCTGATTGTGAAAGTCGGTGAGGTCTGCGGTCGTTGCTCCTCGCACGCCTAATGTCGTTGAGTAAGCCGCTATCATCGTCAGCGCTGAGTTTAGGCTAAAAAGAGTGGTAAATAACGTATCCTTCATCTGAGAACAGAAGAACGTGTAAAACGCTAAAAAGAGAGAAACGCGGGCATTCTAGCTTAACTTTGGCGAAATGGGTGGGCGCGGCGCAATGACCGCAACCTCAGCCCCCTCACGATCAGGCAGAGTCCCACAGAGTCCCATAAAATGCCATGCATAATGCAGGTGATTGCAAAATACTAGTCGTGCCAGAGCTACGCAGCTTTGTACGATAGTAGCAAAGCAGAAGCGCCAAAATCACTTGAATGACAGGTGTTTCAGTGTTCGTGTTGCTGTTACAAACATATCTGATCCGCAACGTAGCCACTAGCTCTACACTCTTCTGAACAATACTCAGTGCATCCACGTGATACCGTCGCGAGGCTACTGTGAACAGCAACCACGGATGTCTGCAGATTTGGTAGCTTTTACGTAAGATTATGATATTCAATTGTTTTTAAGTTATAGAATCTCCTACCACGCAATATGTTTCCCATGGAGCACAGCTTTTCACCGTGTCATCTTCATCGCGCAGCAAAAACGCTTTATCTGCACATTGTCCATCTCTGAAATCAAAATAGTGAGTCAACTATCAAGGAGATTTTTGGGTTTTTTGATGAATTCATTCGACACAGGGCTCGGCATATGCAGGAACCAGGTAGCTTTCAGAATGATGTCTCCTGTAGATTGTGCCAAAATTTTAGGCCTTTAAACCCGAGTAGAAGATCCTCATTACTTTCTATCTTTTTAAGCTCACAGTTTGGGCTGCCGTTTAATCCTGGAACGTAAAAATACGAAAAATCGAGCGATGACCCTTTTACCATTAAATTCACACAACTCTGAATGTCATTAACCTCTTCGGCATACGCTCGTGTTTTACGTCATAGGAGTGTGCAACCTTCCGGTCCGGTGCTCACCCCTTCCCCTCCCCTAACCCCCCCCCCCCCCCCCCCCAAATCTCTTCCCTTACCTTCCACCTCTTCCCCCCCCCCTCCTCTCCCCACAGTCATCGACATGCCTCCTAAATCCAATAAAACAAAGACGTATGAAGATTGAAGAAAGGAAGGGAAGGAGAATGAACGAGACGAAAATGGAAGATTCGCGCGTCAGTTTGCTTAGGGGCGGAATCACAGCAGAATTTCGAAAAGAATTTTGACATCACGAACATTAGATGTGGCAGACAACATCTTCGTAAAAGGCGATCTTAACGGACACATTGGTTATGCACATGATGGTTTTGAGCGATATCATTTGGAAATGGATACGAGCAAAGGGAACGAGGTCGGAAGCTATCTTAAGAGCTGACGCACAAGCACACGACGACATCGCGAACACATTTCTCAAAAAATTTCGGAAATCACATTTGGTCGCGTATGATCGTGTAGACCGTTCAGGTCAGATCGAATACTTTTATGTGCGCCGATGCTACATGCTAACAATTGTGAACCTTGAAGTCTACCTACGACGACATCTGCGCGTACAACATTTCCTGCTCGTGTTGGATCTTCGACTGAATACTCATCATCTACGATTCAGAAAGATGACGACAAAGAGGAGTAAATGGTGGAAGCTTTTCGAACATGGCCAGCAGCAAGTCAAGCAAGCTTTCCTTTGGGATTGTCGACTGATGTAGAATCGGTTGAAGATGGAGTCCGATAACTTCGTATATACGACCAAGAGCCAAACCTGGGTGACATTTAGCCAGGACGCCATTTTGAAGGCAAGCAGATTTGATGGCGGATGAGTCGGTTTAGCAAGTATTTGAAAAGAAGAAAAAAATACAAAACATGGCAGCGCTCTTACGCAAACAGGGATTTTCTTTGATATCGAGGATTGAACTCGAGTGCGAAAGGGGGACATTGCAAGAGACTCTACGACGAGCTGGAAAAATCTGCAAGAGCTAACAAATTCTATCAACTGGCCGCTGCTCGACATCAAGCGAAGCAGGACATCGACCACGTTTTGCATATCCGAGACGCAAAGCTCCTGACGAAACCTAGGGCAATACTTAAACGATGAAACAAACTATAAAGGACATCTCATGTCATACGATGAAGATCCTTGAGCGAATCATTGACACGCGTGTCTGCGATATTGTGGGATCACTCGAATCAAAGCAGTTTCGAAATGATCTGATACCATCCATGACATCCATGCCATACGACTAGTGATGGAGTGTTACTAGAAAAACCGGATTCCGAGTAAATTTGCTTTTCTGGATTTAGAAAAGGCTGACCGAAACACAGACTGATCTACGGTGAGACAATGTTCCAGAATATAATGGTCACTGGTTTGAATTTTTTTTATGCGAACATGACGAGAGCCGTACGTTATGTAGACATCGTTGCCATTGTCGATCCATAAAAATGCGTCAAGAATCGGCTCTATCACAGATTTTCGTGATGTGCGCGGACGCTGTTTCGAGTGGAGTTCGACTCCAGCACTTGTGGACGCTTCTGTACGTGCGTAAGTCAAACTAGCAAGCAGATCGACGCAGGAGCTCGAAGAGGTAATCATGAGATGGAAGTCACGTCTAGCAAAGTATGGCTTGCGACTGAAAGTCGGAAACATTGAGTATCCGCGCTCGAATTTGGGGAAACTGACCAACAATGTGCATCCGCGGACAGCCATCGAAGAAAGTCATCATTTTCAAATACCTGGATTCTCATGTACATTGCGAAGCTATCACTGCCGCATGAGGACGAACGCGGATTAGCAATAGCATCAACTCAAAGAACTCTGCATTTGTTAGTTCTGGTATATCTCAAATTAAAAGTTTATAGGACAGTGATACGATCAATCGCCTTGTACGAATTAGAGTGCTGGCCAGCGACCGAAAAGCACGATCAGATCCTGAGCACGATGGAGCGCCTAATAAGATTGAGGAGACCTTACGCTAAGGCCTTGCGTAACGAAATCCGATGACCATATAATTTGGAACTGCTCCGGTAGCGGACAAAACGTGAGGGGCAAGGTTGCGATGGTATGATTACGTTTTACGAAGTTATGACACTATAGTAGCAAAACGAGACTTCGATTAAATCCAAGGGGCAGAACACTTTGCAGCCGCCCGAAGCAACGTTGGTTGGACACGAACGACCCATACGTGACAAAAATCGTTTCACTGAAAGCAGCCGATCGGTCAGTTAGAAATCCAATTGCAACTGCCTTCGCGGGCAATGGCGAAGATAAAGAAGAACCTCGAGTTTACTCATCCGCATGCGCGCACCGAGGTAAGTGTAATATTTCTGTTTTGGCTGTAGTATATCTTTTTTTTGAGCATCGATTTTCAATTGCTGCACTGTGAAACATCGTATTGAAACATGTATTTAAGGGCACTGTCCTGACTTATCCAATTCGGTGGTGAAGTCCGGATAAACAATTTCTAGCGTATGGTTCGCTGTGATGCGATTTTCTGCGTTTTATTGGTAAGCTTTGCATTAGATCTCCGCGAAACGATATACCTTTGGTTTTCCCTTATAAACACTGCTTGACCCCCTAATTCAACTCAATGTCTTATCACCTCAACTCAAAAATGTTTCTTCTTAGCCAAAAGCTCAAATTGAATGGCAATTTCTTGTGCGACTTTGACGGAGGTGTGAACGAAGGGGGAACAGAAATAAATAAAAAGCGGAGTTTGTGCTTACAAATAAAGGATAGTTGGTCCAGGCCTTTTGGAAGAACATACACCGTTTTGAAAATCATAAAACTTTCGAAATCTTCGAAATTTTCGAAAGTTTTATGCCTCTCTCTTCCATTTAAAATCTGTTTTCCTCATCTGCGAAGCTTTCCTGAGCGAGAAGTTATGAGCGTTTAACGGAACAAAAAATCGAATGTGTAAATAAATTAAAAATAGTTGTAATATCTTTCCATGCTCTTGAATAGAGCAGTTATAATTATCAGAACACTTTATGCAACAAATGCAATATGCCTTCAGATAAATTATATCCACACTCCACTGCCTCATTTGAGCGCTAGGAAAATTTTAGCATTAGATTCATCCCAGAAAATCATTCAATTTTTACTCCAATAAATGGTCATAACTCGCCGTCAATAGATGCTTCGCGATAAAAAGACAGAATTGGAATCAGCGTTTTATGCTCTCCAGGATGGTATATGTCACGTCTCAAAAGGCTACTTCGAACAACCATTCTTCCCTTGCTGATCAAAGATTGGGCATAAGGGAGAAGATAAGTGAGAGATGATTAGTCGAAAACCTTTCAAGATGAGATGTATACCATCTTGAAGGATGTATCTTTTTTATACCTCCCTTTCTCATTCTGCGGGGTCACTGCACAGGTAGAAAATGCAGGTCTGGAGTCAGCGTTTTTGCCCTCCAAGATACATCAACCTTGAAAAGCAGCTTTCCGTCTCTTCTAGTAAATGATATGTAAGTTCCCTATGTTTGACATATTTGTTGGTATATTCGCTTGCCTCGTGTCTTCATAATACTGTTGTTTATGAAAGTCGATCGAACAAGAATAACATCTCAAGGAGTATCCGTGAACGAAATGCACGAAGAGATGCAATGCAACAAAAAGTACGGCGGTTGAATTGTCAGGAGTTTGGGCCACATAAGGTCGTAAGACATCCACCCACATTCACTGCAATTACGGTTTATAAAAGCTTGCGCTTAAACTATAATGCGATTCATTACGATTTAGACGAAAATGGCATAACCGTAAAGACGCAAAACTTTTGCTTACATATATGATACTTATATGCTATTCTTGCTTTTTTCAAACTTTGTCTAAGGACAATTTTGTAAGACCATTAGGACTTACTCCTTGTAATGTTTACCACTAAGTTTAGAGGGTAGAACATCCTAGTCTGAGTTAACAGATTTTGTAATACCCTAGTAAACATATCAGTATCATATATGTAAGCAAAAGTTTTGCGTCTTCACGGTTATGCCATTTTGAACACCACCTCAACTTTTTTGTGAAAGGTTCTAAAATACTTTATCGTTAGTCTATTACCTTAATAGAACATTACTTACTCAAGAGCTTTGACCAATAAGACTAAACTTTATAGCATCCTCTGTGATGAAATGGGTCGCTGCAACTTATAGATTAGCGTGATATATTCATCAACTTTTCGAATCGTAAATCTAAAAGAGATTCGAATTCATTTCGCATTCAGAATGCGACATGCCGCTTGCTGGGTTTTTTAAGATAAAGCCTCTGGAAACGGCACTCTGTGGTTTTGTGACGCTAGCTTGCCATAAAAAAATTCTGCAAATGTAAAACACTGTTGTGAACTTTCATAACAAACCTGTTCGGCACAATATATTTTTTCAGGTTCAAAGAAAACGGAACATGGTAATTATTCTGCAAAAGTTTGTACGTAACGACTGTATTTACTTAATTGTGCGAGCTTCGATCTCGCACGAGAATGCAGAAACAACAATTCGACATCGTATTAAAGAACTATAAAAGTTGCTCGCTAGCGAAGTGTTAGAAACCAGCAAATCCATAACTTTGAGGTGCACGATGTTACAAGCTGAGATAGATAAGTTGCAACACCGAGTTTTTAGAAAACCTCAGATCTATACAGTGACCGCCAAGAAGTCGCGGACAAGCCACTTTTTTTCGCTCATTTTCGGATGGAAAATAAAGATGAAAAAAGATTGGATTGCATATGGTGATAGAGCTCAACAAGAGCTACATCCCACGCATTGCGCTTTTTGGAGAACATGTATTATAAAAGTTTCAAAAATCTTCTTCTAAAAAAAGTTCGAATATGGCCGCGTCATAATGTCGCGGACAATAATTCTTCGAACGCGAAAAATTCCTGTTAGGTGTTTTCTTGGAGCAAAAATAGAAGTTATCCGGACAGGTAAGCATACTATATCGTAGAGCTCATCGAGGGCAATAATCGGGTAATGGTTCCTTCCAAAAAAACCCAAGCTTGAATTTTGTTTCGCTTTTTTTTTTCAAAAAATAATTTTTAATTTCCTTCTTCAAGCCAAATTTCTTCACATGGAAACCTATTCAAGGTATTCCAACAAGGCTGTTCGGATAAACTGAATGCTCTTTGCCATCCTCTGTGCATCGGACGCGTGTTGGTGAGCTTCTTTGCTAAAAATGGCTCTTGAAAGTGCGTGCACTTGACCCCACCTGCACCTCACCGTTGACTTGCACCGCTTTGCAGTCTTTATCTTAGCCAGAAGTCACTCCACGAGCCTGCAGATACGCTCATTCGAAAGAGCGTGACTTCCTGGACAAGATGGTATGCAAAGGAGTTGGGTGAAACAGCAGAGATTTCGCGGATGGGGTGACAAAGCGCAGCCTTAGAGGTGAATGGAGTAAAGGCTCTTATCAACACTAGAACGGTTCTAGAGCTCCGAAATGGATCTATTACAAGAAAACTGACGGTTTTGAACTTTCAGGATGAAACTGGTGGCGAAAGAAGTTTTGCTCAATTTTGACTGAAAAATCCTTAGCCTACCACTGAAGCTGCGCTTTGTCACCCCATCCGCCAAAACTCTGCTGTTTCACCCAATTCTTTTGCATACCATCTTGTCCAGAAAGTCACGCTCTTTCGAATGAGCGTACCTGTATGCTCGTGGAGTGACTTCTGGCTGAGATAAAGCCTGCAAAGCGGTGCAAGTCAACGGTGAGGTGCAGGTGGGGTCAAGTGCACGCACTTTCAAGAGCCATTTTCAGCAAAGAAGCTCACCAACACGCGTCCGATGCACAGAGGATGGCAAAGAGCATTCAGTTTATCCGAACAGCCTTGTTGGAATGCCTTGAATAGGTTTCCATGTGAAGAAATTTGGCTTGAAGAAGGAAATTAAAAATTATTTTTTGAAAAAAAAAAGCGAAACAAAATTCAAGCTTGGGTTTTTTTGGAACGAACCATTACCCGATTATTGCCCTCGATGAGTTCTACGATATAGTATGCTTATCTGTCCAGATAACTTCTGTTTTTGCTCCAAGAAAAGACCTAACAGAAAAATCTCGCGTTCGAAGAATCATTGTCCGCGACATTGTGACGCGGCCATTTTCGGACTTTTTTTAGAAAAAGATTTTTGAAACTTTTATAATACATGTTTTCCGAAAGCGCAATGTGTGGGATGTAGCTCTTGTTGAGATCTATCCCCATGTGCAATCCAATCTTTTTTCATCTTCATTTTCCATCCGAAAAAGCGATGAAAAAAAGAAGGCGGCTTGTCCGCAACTTCTTGGCGGTCACTGTATATGCCAGCATTTTGGGAACTGAGAATGCATTATGAAGACAAACGTGGTATGGGAAGATTTCTCAAACAATTATAGCGATAGCATGGGCATTGCGAGTATATTCTGACGGCAGTGTACATGCTCACAATAACATTTACAACGAAAGGAAACTAACTTCTACTCAAATATTCTTGTTTTTACCAATTTTTTCGTTTACCGGAAGTTCACTTAATAACTCTCACTTCATTTGCAGCACATTGTGGCATACATTTTTGATAAAGGTTAGTTCTAGACAAACGCGACTGCTCGAGTAAGCGAGGCGTGTGCGAGCGTAAAAGCTCTAATGATGAGAGATACTAAGAATAAAACGCAGCTTTTAGGCCCGCTTCGCAATGTGAACCGAGCGCTTTTGGGATCAGCCTTAACTAGAACGGATGATACGAAAAGCTATAGCCTATGTCAGTTACGTACTTCCTTTTCTATTAAGCTTCGCCCTACGGTTGCGAGGGAAAACCTCTTCAGGATGTCTCACGTAATCAGATATTCATCCTCGATTAGAAGTCCATTCTTAAAGTCCGCGCTGTGATTTGCAACCTACACATGGGTGGAATGCAGGAGTTGCCATATTTCGACTATTGATTTCTCGAAATCCATGCAATAACGCAGCAAAATATGAGCATATGATAAAATCGCGCGCGCACCTCCCTGCTTCATTAGGAAGATCGTATGAATTCTTGGGCTAAAATGCGATGTCTGCTGGATTAACTACTTCTACTTTATTGGATCCTAACATGATTTGAATCATCCTTATTGTATCGCTCTAGCACTCATTGCTCTGTTGCGGTAGCGTTTAAGTCACATGAGCATGATCATGATCAGCTTTTCTACTTCGTAGTATCTTTAATATTGTAGGTCGAAGTGCAATGCACGCAACATCATTTTTTATTTTATTTTATACAATGAAATCAATTTTTTATGGAACGCCATCTAAGTTAACAGAAAAGGTCGCATGCTCGCATTTGTTCGTAAAAAAGGCAAGGCGCCACCTTCGCATTGACTGCCTCAAGAGCCAGCCTGTCAGCACATTTACTTTGAAATGGTAGCGGATTCGGTAGCTTAAGGGGCCCTTGATTCGATATTTATATGATCGTTCGATTTGCTTATTACATGATTCTTTTGAAGGTTGTTAGACACTTAAGCCTCGCATACTTTATGCGACTTTGCCAGATTCCTCCAAATTCAGCACTTGCATACTATGATGCCTAATGGCATAACTTTGTATAACTTTCGCAGACTGTTAGAATGCCCTATCTTTTGTAAAATCACGATGCGCTTACGATGAATTATAAGCAATTGTATTGCCAATTCGCGTCGAGAGTAAAATCGAGAAGTATGTCCGAAGCTTCAAAGAAAATCCCTTTCAAACTCTTTCATTACTTACAAAGAAAAAGGATGGCCGTTGGCATCATACTCAACTAAACTTGAAAAAGTAGCGTTCTACGCATCTTTGACTACTTTCAAAAAGATGGAGTAGAGCTAGCATTAGGACCCCGCCAGAGTGCCGAAGCCACGCCAGTGCTACGCCGGCGCCGAGCCAGCGTTTCGATCGATACACGTGTATTTCGTTGGGGCGGGGCTAGCTGACCTAGTTCTCAGCCAGGTAGATGCAATGACTATTGATCTCGGCGCTGGCTCGGCGCCGGCGCAGCGCTGGCGTGGCTTCGGCACTCTGGCGGGAGCCTTATAAACGAGTCTGAAGTAATCTCCAATTTTCTATGAAATTCTTATCAAACGACGAACTTGCAAAAGTGAGAAGAGAAAGAGATTCCATGAGGTTTCTGACTTCAAAGCTGCAAAGGCAAGTTTTGTGCATCTTGTTTGATTCGGTGTCTACCCATAACTGCTAAGCCCCATTGTCAAGCTTGGAGTGCTATTTGGGATGCCATCAGCAGTAAGCAAAAAGCGAGAACTTAGACAAATTACACGGAAGAAGAATTGTTAACTCATTATTCAGTCGTACTCATGTTAGTTTAATGCGTGAACTTTTTCAATTTCGACCATCAGAATTCTCGTACTTTATGCTTCGATGCAAATTAAATAATACAAATTACCAATAAATCTTCTACGTATTTCAATTCTTCTCCAATGTGAAGGAACAAAAAGAATTTTTTTAGAAGATCTTGGATAGAGCATAGATCATTGAAGCAAACGCTGAAGGATTGCGAAGCGAAGAAAGAAAAGAAAAATATTTTTAATAGCTACTCAATGCATTCGACATAATCTGTTCAGAATTAGTTGGACATGTGGTGTAGATGTAGCAACAGCAGCATAAAACATAGTATAGCATAGCACATAGCACATAGTATACCGAAGTATTTGAGGAAACTCTGCAGATAACTAGGGATCCCCATTGTCTAGTAGCGGAAAATCAAGTTTTGCTCTTTATTCCATTCAATCTCTCCATTCACGGGCGTAAACCATGAACCATACTGTTGCCTCATCACTTTGTAGTAATAGCTTAGTGAGAAGCGTCCATTGCATAAATCATCCTCGCAGCAGTCTGTGCATTCTACCTAAATATATATATTTTGTTTCTATGATGTGAGTAACTGACACGATGTGCGGCTACGTACAATTATTAGGTCGTCTCGGTTGTCGGTCATTTCGAATGGGTGTGAAATCTCTTCCAATAAAGACTTGGATGTATTTGAACATGCTTCGATACAGGTTGTTCTCATTCTGATAGTTACATCTACACTCCAAAATTTTGTGGACATTTATTGATCAAAAATTTTCACAAGCCATTTCCATCGGCTAATTTTTGAAACTTGTAATTTGTAATTTTGAAAAGGAAGTGTGATTCAGATGAAGCAACCCCGAGTTATAAGAATGCATTCTTTTAGCTTCTCTGATCCTTGGAACTCAAAAAAAATTTTTTTGGAGATCTTTAGTAAGGTCATGAAACACACAACTGCAGCAAAAACATGAAAGCACCCAAAGCTTCTGCGAGGAAGCTCAATGGTCACTAAACATCATTTGCGCATAATTATCAACTTAAATCGCTTTGAATCACCTTTTTGGAATTCGGTACTCCTATGCGCTACAAATGCTCAAAAAGCAAGGGATTTTCTTGGATAAGCAATTCTTACAGATTTCAAAAATTAGACCAATGTTATCTGAATACACTACGAGCTACCAGCACTGTTTTAGAATAATAGGATAGAATTTTGGAAAATCAGGGAATTGGCGTCATTGCTGAACTGCTCAAAGAGCCCTCGCTTTAGGCAGGGACTGCATATACCAGAGAGAAAGTGCAGCTTGTGAGTTTGTACCCCTTCAAAAAGGGACAAAAATCTGAATCAGACGATACCTTAGTCGTTCGTCGATGAGTGTCCTGTGAGTTTTAGTGACCAATGTAAAACTTTTGAGACAACCTAATATTATATTTGGTAAAATATAACTTATGTTTGAAGCTAAAGCGTCATATTCTGCCGCAGAGTGCGTTACGTCAAGCTTACTCGGTAGAATATGACGCTAATGTGCGTTTACGAACACAAGAACGTTAGGTAAAACTGATCGTAAGATGCTTGATTTTTTTGATCTCTTATCTTGTCAAGGCATAAGAGATGAGCCTGTAGAGTTGTTTTATTGTTGTTTGAAATGTAGTGCAGCGGATCTCGTCATACAGTTACCGGAAAGAATTACCATGAAACTAAATTTTAAGATTTTGATGTGTTGTTGCCCTTAAGAGAGCAAATCGGTTGCACAACATGTCCTGCTTTCCAAGTGAATTTCTTCAAAAAGAGTGCATTGGGACAACCCCAGATAAGCAAGTTTCTGGTCGAATTGCCAAACCACTGCCTTGGAGTTCGGCCGGCGGACGAAGGGCAGTACCTAAGGGCCCGAACACAATTCTTTTGGACGCATGCGGGCAGGGTTCGCAACAATGTAGCCGCGCATTGCGTGGTCACTCAACTGAGATTGCTTCTCTTCGTCCGGCACTAGACTACTCATATTTCAAAAAGGCGCATTGAAAGATACTACTGTATACTCTTAGAAAGATGATGCAATGGGAGCATGCGCTAATCTCTGCTTGTAATCCCAACTAAGAGGCCATTCAAATGCTTATTTTCAAAAATTACTCTTGAGCATAAAGCAGAAAATCTGTGTGTTTGTGCACAGAAGACATGAGTTATAAGCGGTGAAGCTTATTTTGATCTGCCGGTCATCAAAATTTTTCAAAAGTAGAAAGCAAACCTAAAGTCGAAGGGTCGAAATCAAAAGAAGGGTAAGTTTCGCTACATAAGAGGTCAAGCACGTTAAAATGGCTCCTAAACAGGAGTGAAACCGAGGATGCCAGGTCCTAAACATATATTTGTGATCAGCGTTTCAAGACGAGTCTGATGATATACAAAATGTTTGGTATGGCTGAGTTAAGTTCTGACCATTCCCTGTTAGGATATACAAAGCAACTTTCTTTATAATATGGTGAGATCTCACAACAGAGATGTGATCAATCAAAGTAGCTTTTCCAAATGACTCTTTTACCCCAATGAAAACCATCAAACGGTGATTCCAAATCTGATTTCACATCTGAAGAGAGCCTCTGCATGCCCTGTTGTGAATATTTTCGCGGTGCGGAGAATGAAGCATAATCTAGGTAAATGGGTAAAATCTAGATCTTTCCAGCGCTCAAATGGAGCAGTGATAAAGGCAGTGGCTCGGCAAATCCTACCCAATTTCTTCGCTTATCTGGGATAATTCGACGCGCTGATTTCGAAATTACGCCTTGAAGAGCACGAAAATGTCGAAAACCAGCATTTCAAGGGTTCTCATTTTGAATTTGGACGAGTGGACCACTCCCCGCCATATAAAGACGTAAAGTCGTTGCAGGACCCTAATGTTTGTAACATTGCGGCATGCCGCCTCTGACATTGGCAGGAGGGCTGCAAGCTCGTCCGAGCGCGTGTAAGAATGGCTTGCGCTCACGGGTTCAGGGGCAGTTTTTAGGCGGGCACCGCATGTAGTGCGCTCAGACCTGCTCTGTTAGACGTTTGGGATGCAAGCAACCTTGCTTATCGAATTTCGGGATGTTTGGTTTTGCCGAGACACTGCCTTTGATTAGGTGTTTTGGGCAGAAGGTATTGTTCAAATAAAGTGCTAGACAGACAACGAAGACAGATCGGTTAGCGTGCGATGCTCTTCAAGGTGGTGCAAGGTTCATCTGGAAAGGCCACTTCGATTAATCGGATCTCCCCTATGATGCAAGAAATTCCCTCGTCACTTGCATATTTGCAAACTTTTTTAACTGAAGCGAATGATTTCCACATAATATGCAACTTTTCGTTAGAAAGCTTACAAGTTAAGTCACTTAACTTGGGTGGGGCTTTTGAAATGAGACACATATTTTTAGAATCAATTTGGAACGCTGATCTCAAGTAGCCTAATATCCTTAGCTGCGAAGCGTTTCTCTTAAACGAGTTATTAGCTTTTTAGCATGTGCCAGTGACATACAAATTTTTGAAGCTTCCTTGGGAACTACTGATGAGGGGCACCAAGGAAGTTGCACGGGTGTATGTCAAGAGGCGCAATTTTTATTGCCAGCTGGACATCAGATTGCACATTTTAAATGTTTAATAATGTTCTAGGGGCCTTTCAAATTTCTGAGAGTTATAGTAGATCGTTGCATGAGCTGTCTGAATCTTATCATCTTGAAAAAGATCCAAAACAGAAACTTTGGAGGTCAAAAACCCATGAAAATGCAAATAGTGGCAATTTCGTGAATATTTCGCTCATTTTTGCAGCAAAAGCCGTGGAACTCAGTAAATGGTAACTTTGAACAGCTAGTAAGCTAAACGACTTTCTCTGGAATTTTTTGAAAATTTGTGTAGTGCAGAAATGAGCTTTAAAGTTGGTGACAGCCAGAGAAATCGCGCCTCTTGACCGTCTCCCAAGTTGCACTACCGTGTAGGCCCCGGAACCGGATAAAGTAAAAAACAAATGCAAAAATTATTGTGAAATTTTGTATCTTGACGATCTAATTCTCAATTCTTACTTCACATTTGTTTCATTATACAGCTGAACATAAAAAAAAGGCTTGTAGACAGAATCTGCCCGAAATCATGGTGGAAAATCGAAATAACATCAAATTGAGTCATTGGCCTTGATAGGGTGTACTATGCATTTGAGCCACTACCTAAACGATGATACTGTAGCATCCGTAATTCGCTCAACACCCAAGCTTTGCTCAGGAGAAAGCTCATAACTGCTTCAGAGTAATGCTTGACAGTTATGGATAACAGATTCAAAGTCAGCATTTTGAGCTGATTCTGATAGTAGGTGTCGCTTTTCAAAAGGCCTACCTAAGTTAGGTGATATGCCCTGCTAGTAGAATGTGTCAGTCTTCGGTGGGCGTGTGATCTCAACTGATATGAGCTTACCTGACTCGGTCCATAACCAGTAAATTCGCATCCATTTGGACATTCTTCAGCGCACCCACGTTCCACTTTTGCGATCGTATTGTGAAGTGTTTGCAAAGTTGTCTACAAGTATTTTGACTGTCTTTTGTGTTTCCTTGAGCATTTTCAGGATGAACACTACAGGCTTTGCGTACATTACACTAACGTCAGCAGTTTAGAGTTATAGAATGTTCTTACCACGCATATAGTCTCCCATGGGGCACAAGTCCTCACCGTCTCGTCTGGACCAAGCCCCAAAAATGATTTGTCTCCACATAGCGCGTCTCTGGAAACAAGCGCAACTGATTCCTACCTACTCTGCAGAAAGGCGTAACTTCCAAATTTATCGCGGATTATGGTGCAGTTATGGTTCCAAAGTTGCTTTTCATTTCTTGGAAGGTTTTTGGGAATTCCAGGTTGTCTGAACAAAGTCAGGCACAGCTGTTGCTTTGAAAGGTGCCAGCATCATTTTCAATAAGCGCGGGTTCAATTCTTATAAGATAAGTTCCAAAAAGTTATCGAAACGGAGCTTTTTAGCTGGAGTGACATTTCTCCCTGTAAAAGTTTGCACAAGTTTTTCCAAAACTGATGCTCACTAGGGAGAACGGAATAAAGTTTGGTCCTTAGCGGGTTCAATTCTTATAAGATAAGAAGATTCTTATAAGATCCTTACCTCTCATTCTTGCGAAAGTAAACTTACCGACTGCCTTCATCATAATCTTCAGCATACTCGAGCGAACAAGAATAGCACCTGAGGAGACACCCAAAGTTGAGGTTCTCGTATAAAAGCAGCAGAACGAAAAAGCCTTTCGCGCACTCTGTCATCAAGTCCTCCTTTGAGCCACTGCAACTTCGTGGGGCAGGATTTACAAAATAAGAAAGAGTATCTCTCAATATCGCAACAGCTCAAAACCCTTTCCTTAGCATTACCGTAACCGATACCAAAGCCTAAATCAAAAAGTTGTTGCTGGGGTTACACGATAATCTTAACAGGCTATGTTTTACGAGTACAGTCTGCCCCAATCGGGATCAGGCCGAACCTTCGGCTTTTTTTGCGCGCTCGTAGCGCTAGGGGTTTGCGCTGCATACGCGCGCTGTGGCAGAGAGAGAAGAGATTGAGGAGGGAGCAGACTAGTTAGCCGTAAACGTGACGCAATACCCACGCGACACGGACTCCCGCCATGCCAATTTTGGCCTGGTTGGGATTGGGGCAGACTGTATAATGAAAAGAATAATGCGCAAAGAAGGAAAAACTCTGAATTTGTTGAGAAGTAATAGCACTGATACATAAGATCCAATCGCAATACGCGTGTCTCAAACTATGGTTTGCGGCGGCATGCGATATTCGAGGTAGGCGAACAATACACAAGATAGTGGAAAGATATTTTGAAGGAGCATTTAACCAAACTCGTCATCCATTAGTGCTTAAGATACGGCATTTCTTGTACTTCATGGGTGGAGAAATAGTGTATCCGCTGAGGACAAATGCGGCGAAAGACCCAAGGCGGCGGCTCGCGAGGGCCCGAGCCGCGCCGACCGTGACTCGGTTGGTTTAAGAAAAAAAGGTTTGGTTTGCTCTGCAAGGATGGGAGCAACCTGCCTTTGAACAAGAGAGTTGTTACATCTTGGAATTTGGGATTTTTTCCATCGGAATTTGTGCACAAGAAGAAAACTTTAATCTGCAACCGAGCGCCGTCTATAAAAGGCCATACCGCAGAAAAGGCCTAATGAACAGGTCCATACACCACGCGATCCTACTCAGACATGCGCGGTTGACGACCGCTGGAGATCCGCTCACTTTCGGTTTGTTTCGGGACAAAGTTTTGTCCTGACGTTGACCCGACTGCACCGGCAATTTGGTCGGGATTGTTCCGACGCGTATCAATGCAATCGATCGGCTTTGTGAATCGTTCGGGCTCAACCGGATGTGCTTGACAAGTGCCGACAGGTGTTGGAGAGAAGCATTCATTTTGCGGTCATCCTCATTTTCATTTCTGCATGCAATAATGGTAGCCGTCTGTTCAACGCCTGACTTTTTCAATCCGTCACGTCCATTCCAGTTTCCTTTTTTTCTATGTGTTTCACGCTTCATATAGTGTTCTCCTTTCTCAGGTCTAGCTATGAGAGCGCTTCGTCAACTTACAATCATTCAGTCGTTTGGCATGATTACAAGGTTGAGTCATTCGGTCGTGATGACAGCATGTGTGATTCTAGGATTTGAAACCGTTTCTTCTATCTGAAGAAACAGCTTGAAGAAAAAAATGTTGCACTTCACGAGCAGTGTAAGTCTAGAATATTATTATTTCTCCATTCAATCTCTGTTGTGTTAGCGATTTTTGTTTTACTTCCGCTTGATATTCCTATCATTCCTTACCAAGCTTTTCAGGCGTATTTTGAAATCATAAGATAGATCTGACGAAGCAAATCGATTTAGGCAATGCTCAGTCAGTGTTCCCTTCCTCTCTGGGTCATGCCACCGCAGCTGTCTCAAATGTCTCCAGTATGGTTGAAGGGGCTGGTGCGAAAGTTTTCTCCTTTTTCAAGTGAAGTGTATTCCTCTTTCACCTTTGAATAACAGAGAGATCTCTTCACTAAACTCCAGGCATTTCTTCTAGTCTTCTTTCTTTTACTTTATTGTATGCTACCTTGTGCTCTCAGAGATGTATAATTTTCTTGTTGCGATTTTGTTGTTGAGAGTAGCTTTTTCTCCTCCGCTTTGTGCTCAGTGGTGCATAATTTCGTTGCTGCGATTCTTTCCGGTGTAACGAGTATTCTTATCGTTTGTTCTGGTTGTTTTGTCGTTGAGTTGACATGGGATGAATACCGGAAATTTTGAACAATACTCAAAAGTGCTCTACGGCTAAATCCATGCCCCATGGTCACGTCGGGACTCCAGCATTTAACCGGCGTTCCACCTGCGTTTGACCGGAAAATGTGCTGCAGGCAAATCCCGAACTAAAAACAGGTGAAAACTGCTCGACCGGCATTTCTCCGGCAGTGTTGTCCCGAACCAACAGCCGGATTGTCCCGATCGAAATGGAGGTGTTCCGCATGTTTTCAATGAGTCGAACTCCGTTTCACCGGCGGTCGTCAACCGCGAGTGTCTGAGATACGGCGTTGTTAGAACTGTTCTAAAAGACTTAACTGTAAGGTACTTTGATATTCATCGTACTTACCGGATCTCGCCGCAGCAGATGATGATTTAGGATCGCCGTATAGGATCGCGTTTTGTCACTCAAGGTTTACTGGACTAGTTCATTAGGCCTTTTCTGCGGTATGGCCTCTTACGTATGAACTGTATTATCGATTCCAAGACGATTTTAGAAGCTGGTTGAGTGATTTTGGGATCTGACGGATTTGGAACGAAATCAAAAATCTGACAGCAAGGTGACAGAAGGTTGAGGCAGAAAAAAACATCATTGACAATTTGATAGTCATTTCTTTGCTTTATGCAGGCGCTACAAACTGATAAAACAACCCCACAGAATGCTGCTTAGCAACAAAAACTTTTCCTTGAATTCATACGCTCACATTCATTATCATATAGTTTTAACAAAAGCAAAATACCCGAGTATCAGCGAAATAAAAAGTTGTAGCAGTTTTGATGGAGCTGAAAGCAAACTAAGTCAACAAGGATACTAGAACGCCAAAATTTTCGTAAAGTCTTATATGGAGGAATGCAGAAAGTTGAATGTTATATGCTTATATGCCGTATTAGATTTGTGCGGCTATATGTTGTTTTGTAGGTTTGCGCACCGGAATTCCACATGGATATTTGTTCACCTTTTTGTTCAATGCAAATTTCTTGTCAAAACGGCGTCAAAAACGCAAGTCGGATTTGAAAGATTTTGAGATCATGCTGCAGTATCATTGCGGATAGTAGAAAAAGCGTTGTCGAGTCCTTGCCTAACGTTAGACGTACTTTTTCTCAAATCTTGAGAATTGCACTATTACTACTACTTACTATTACTACTACTTAATAATCTAGCTGCTTCCTTATCCGCCTTGACTTTCGATCAAACCGGTATTTTGGAGACCGCTAACATCCTTGTTCCCATAATAGGAATTAACAATAATAATAATAGCATTCGATTCTAATGCTAGCTTAGTCGCTTTTGTCGGATAAGCCGCCAATGCTTACTTTCTGTGCTTTCGAATAATAATAATAAATTTGATAAATTCGAATAATAAATTTGTCACTAAGACGACGAAAGAGAAATTTGAAGGCAAATTATAGCTTGAACTAGGGAAGCTTAAACATTTTCTCGAGCTAAAAGAAAATATTGAGGCGATCAGAAGGCAATGCGGCAAATGAATTTTAATTGCAGGAACTCCTCTTTAAAAAAGTTCTAGGTGCGATTTTAGTAGAGAGTATATTGTAATTCTCCAAGATTTTCAAAGATTCTAAAATGCAAAGCTAGTCTTTTCGAGCAAGCGCGAGAAGAAGCATTAATCGTTGATATCATTTTAAAAAATTGATACTGCTTCTTAAAATAAACAGTCTAAATTTGATGAGAAGTTGACTGCTCCGATTCCTCGACTTCCAAAGATGGATACTCACAAGGCAAAAAGAACACCTTTGGTCCTTTCTTTTCACAAAATGGCGTTCTGCGCAGATTTCTGCCTCAATTGTGAGAAATGGAGTTTTTCCCGTCAGTATGAAACAAGAAAGGTTTGGCTCGCTTCAAGAAAAACAACGTTGGCAGAATGCCCCAGCCTCCCCCCCCCCCCCCGCCCCCTTGATTCTGTCCATCCACCTCATCTTGGGTCTACCTCTGGGTTTTTTGCCTAGCGCCTCCACAGCCAGGGCTGACTCCGTAATGTGACTTTCACCCCTTATGCGCACATGCCCACACCATCGTAACCTCTTTTCCTGCATTTTCTGGACAATTGGAGCTACTTTCATTTGCGCTCGTATAGTGTCACTGCAGATGTTATTCTTTGATGTGACTCCTTAGGTCCAGCGTAGCATCCTTGTTTCCATCACACTGAGTTTGCACTCCTCGACGCGCGTACACGGCCAACATTCACTGCCATACAGTACTGCTGGCCGGATGACAGTGCGGTATAGTTGGGACTTAAGTTGCACTGGCATTCTTCTGTCGCACAAAAGTCCTGTTAAGTCCTCTCCATTTCATCCTTGCTGTGTTCATCCTGCTTGCGACTCTTTTTGTAAGCCTCCCTCCGCTGAGATGTGAGTGCCTAGGTACTTGTATGACGTTATCTTTTTTAGCTCTTCACCATTGATGCTTATAGTATCAGGAGTCTGTTTCCCCACTTCCATATACTCTGTCTTCCTGATGTTGATCTTTAGACTACACAACTCTAGCCTGTTCTTTCAGTTTTGTACCTCGTCTTGTAGCTCCTTTCTGGTACTTGCTATCAAGACCACATCATCTGCGTGGGGAAGTGTCAAGGAGGATCGCGTCTGAGCGGTTCCATCGCGGCGTTCATCACAGTGGTGAAGGGCAAGGGAGAGAGAACTGAACCTTGGTGTACTCCGACCTTGATTTGGAATTCTTTCGACTGTCCTGCAGCTATTTGCACTAGCTTGAAGCCTCGTGGTAGATCAACTTTATCCACTGATCGTACTCCTCTGGCACCCTGTGTTTCCGTAAGGCCTACCATATGACTTGGGGCACCTTATCGAAAGCTTTCTCCAGGTCTAGGAACCCTGCATGCAACTCCTTTTGCTTCTCTCTATACTTCTCCATCACTATCCGGGAGGAGTGGATTGCGTCGGTTGTACCTACTCCTTTCACGAATCCGTACTGATTCGGTGACAACTCTATTATGTCTCGAAAACGCGTTTCAATTATTCGCTC